TATGCGTTTGAGTAAGACAGAATGATATATATTATATAATATAATGTAAAAACTAAATCAAAGATGTCACCACTATTATCGAATTTGGAATTAAAAGAGTCTGTACTATCGACCTTGATTGAGTTGGGTAATCGGTTTAGCATCCCCTTAACAGCGCTATCAATCTTATAACTAGGCATATTTATGACACATACAATGAAACGCAACTAACGTTATTTTTCTAATTAATAAAAAAACCTTATAGAAAATATATCAATGGAATATGCGAAAAAAATAATAATACTTATAAGAGAAAAATATAATATGTTATACATAGTTATATGTGAAAAGTAATAATAATACTTCAGAAAAAAATATCACATTACTTACGATATGTCCCATAGATTTTTAAAACGGTATATTGTTTCCAAGTTGATTCCGGTGTCTCCATATACTTTACGGCTTTGTAATATCTGCTATCGCTAAGGAAATGTGGCCACACGGTTTTCATGACACTTATGTCTAACCAATTACTTGGAACTACTTGAAGTCCATCTTCAAATTCAACGATTGCGTAAAATTTCTGGGCCATTCTGTTTGTATCAAGATACATATTATATCATGTGTATCAGTGGAAAAACTGCATATTTGTTTTTTTCATATGGTAATTTAACATATTTTTTTATGACGTCTTGTAATGGCCACGATTTTAGCTCTGAGCATATGTGCACAGTATAAATTCCAAATAACAAAGATGGACAAGGAACATTAAATAAATCTTCTTTTCCCATCAATTCATGACCAATAATTACTGGAACATTTCTTTTTGTACAATATGCGATATTTGCTACAGATACAATAGTACCATCATTCAAATGACAACAACTGTCCGCAAGTGACCCTGCTTTAATTACAATTCCATTGTACCTCACCATTTTATATTGCGGATTTTTACAATCAAGTATAAGCGGACCATCATAATGTAAAGATATTAAATTTGAATGTGTCAGAACAGAATTTGATAAAATAGTTGAGGATACAGAAGATGAGTTTATTTTTTGTTCAACATATCTTCGTACAACTTGTTGCAAAGGTTTATCAGCTTTTCTAACATACCTTTTTAATTTTTGCATATAATTTTCAAATTTGAATGCACTGAAATTATCCAGTGGTCCAAATTTTCTGACATCGTCAACAAGATGTACGAGATTGTGGATATTATGTGACACATTTTGAATTCCATAAAGTTGTATACATTTTCTAATAAAAAAAATAATCAAATCCTGTGCATAGTTTAAATACTCTTTCAAATCTTCTGAACATAGAATTCTGATTATAACATGTAGTATAATAAAATGTGTATACACATTCTTTTTTAATACGGATTGAAAAGCCAATGGACTGGTATATAATAAAATGAGTCTATATTCCGTTGCTTTCCATAATTTGACACACTCCAATCTTCGAGGCTTTCTAGCAAATTCCATAGCTATGAAAGGTTTTAATTTCATTACTAGACATGTAGAAATGGCTTCCACAGCTCTAGATCTCAATCGATAATACAAATCTCCTTCAACCCATAAATATATTAACTTGCGCATAATTCCTAGGCATATTAAATGCATATAATCAAGTGGAACATTTGTAACACGCTTAAAATGTGGTACTCTAAGCAAACTACATGTAGTATTCAGTTTATGATAATCATCATCAATCTTTCTTATGAAATCATCATCTGTTCTTGGTGGCGCATCGATTTGAGGAAAACATATCCGATTTTGTACGTTTTCTCCTTCTGTTTGGCACTTTGTGCAGCTAGAGTATCCGGAATGTCCCTTAACGCATAATACGAAAGCTTTTGCAGGTGTATCACAAATTAAAGCCTCAAGTCTGCATTGTACATTACGGCCACTAATATTAATGCCATTTTCGCACATATCTTTCATCTCCTCAACAAGATCTTTTAAAAAATCATTTACATCTGCTGGTTTTTCATTTCCATGATAAATGCCAATGATAAAGACATTACTATATGAAATAATTGAATCTAGTATGGGCCAAAATTGTTGCTGCGAAGATTTCGTTAATGGCAAACCGTCAATATTGATAGTTACTTTTATGCAATCAATATCATCTTTCATAGAAGATAATATTCTTAATATAGAATTTAATACACCAAAATGATAGTAAATTCCTGGTGGGATTATACGTATTTCTTGTTTTCTTGGTGTTTTCAAAATAGATCTTGAATTTATTGCTAATGTAGCAAAACAAGAATGTTCCCTCAATCTTTGCAGCAATGCTCTTAGAGCGATATGTGGAATTTGATATTGAATAGCCCATGTAGCAAGATTACTAATTGTAAAAGTACTGTCAGTTACATTTGTATTCTCAGACATTGAATGAGATACTGATTCTTCAATAGAAATGAATGATTCTTGCAAATCCGACGTAGAATAATTAGATTGTCTGTACGTATTACAGTTTTCATTTTCTATCGATACATGACTTGATTCGCTCATTTCGTGAATAGTGTCATTTTCATTTACAATGTTCCTATTTAATGGAGTATCAGAATTAACTGACGAAACGTTTTCTAAGTTTCTTGTCCCTTTGTCATTAATATTATGTGACAATGTTGTAGTCGTGTTTCGAAAAGAATCATAAATAATTTCTGAATCTACTCTACATAATTTTCTTAAGTGTTGTTCTGATACATATAAAATGTCTTTCCTTGATCGCTTCCGATTTATATCCATTCTGTTAAAATGTATTTATATAATTATTATACAGGGTGAGTCATTTTAATCGATGGATCCAAATATCTCTTAAAATACGCCAGCTACAAAAAAATGGTTGGAACAAAAATTGTCGAGGATAATGGGGGTCATTTATCTGTGCTAATAATTTTGTCAGGATCAAGACTATTGGAGGTTGTACCTCTTATTTTCATTTTTATGTAGAAATAAATTTTTAGTGCTAAAGTGAAAATAAGAGAAACAGTCTTCAATGATCTTGATCTTGATAAATGTTATCCAGGTAATGATCCTGAACAACATTCAAAACATTTTAGCCGTCGATTGGACACCTAGGGTAATGCTAATGCCGGCGGTTCTGTAACTTGCAAGCCTTATAACTTGAAAAGTACTTAATGAAAATGAACTTAATTATAGTGTTTTGGAAAGCTCTCGAGGTAAGCTATAAGAATACCTAATGAAAAATGAGTTTTGTTTAAAAAATTCAAAGTGACCTTCAAATAACCTTGAAAATCGACCTGAAGGTCAAAATTATTGGGAAGGCTCCGATTGCACACATTGCATGTTGCATACATGCGTCGCTAATTGGTAAATTTAGGTCTGTTCGCGTTGCATGAAATCCCCAAATATTTTTGCACTTAAAATGAGATAGATATATATTTGGCTTTGAAAAGAGAGAAAGCGAAAATGCTGAGTGCAAAAAGTGCAAGCAACGCAAACAGATCTTTTAAAAATAAAATATTCTCATTGGTAAAGCAGTGAAAAATTACTGGGCACTAGCTGATATGAGTGGTGTGTGCAATCGGGATTGTAGGCAAACCTCCCAAAATTATTAACACAGATAAATGACCCCCATTATCCTCGACAATTTTTGTCCCAACCATTTTTTTGTAGCTAGCGTATTTTAGGAGATCCGTCGATTAAAATGACTCACCCTGTATAATATTAATGTTATAACGTTAACGTTATAGTATACAATTTAATGATATTGTTAACACTGAATTGCAAAAAGCAAGTTGTTCGCATGCGCGACGATAGGATACCTGGAAGGTCAAGACAAAATAAGACCACACGCAATGACATAACTACACCCTTTATGGATAACAGATACAAACAATAATCTAAAACATTGTAACATATTGATGGAACATATGAATAATACGTGAATAATCGGGTGTGTCGAGAATGGTATACTAATGGTTATGATAAGGTGCGATAGTAAAACGAACTCATGAGGCCGTAGCCAAGAGGTGCAATTGAATAGACACAAAGTATTAATGTAGGTTCTTATAATGTCACCGATCAAGGAGTAGTCGAATAAATAGCGGTAGCCATCTGGATGTATATGCAACACGGCAACCGGAAGAGAGGCGGTGGCTGCGACCTGTCTCTTAGAGCTCCTCGATAGTTAGCCGATGATCGACCACGGGAAGGATAACGTGGTCATCTACGCGGGAGAGTAGCAGTATGTCGGCTCCTGAGTAATCAAGGCATATCTGTAATAGGCAGAAGGGTACTTACAGCAAACAATGGTAGAGAGTTATTCCTCAGTCGCAGTTGCCAACTGCAAGGGTGCATTTAGAGCACAGTTAGTGAGATGTGCACTTCCTGGACAAACAGTACGTTTGTGGCAGCCAGTATAGTAAGGAAGTGCACGCTGTGGCGAGAACGCCTTTCAAGAACTGTCTTAGAGATCTGCCGGCAGGAACGAGACTTTCTGTTAGTGTGCCGCAGGCACGAGACTTTCTGTTAGTGTACCGCAGGCACGAGACTTTCTGTTAGTGTGCCGCAGGCACGAGACTTTCTGTTAGTGTGCCGCAGGCACGAGACTTTCTGTTAGAGTGCCGCAGACACGAGACTTTCTGATAGAGTGCCGCAGGCACGAGACTTTTTGATAGAGTGCCGTAGGCACGAGACTTTCTGTGAGAGTGCCGTAGGCACGAGACTTTCTGATAGAGTGCCGTAGACACGAGACTTTCTGTGAGAGTGCCGTAGGCACGAGACTTACTGTTAGAGTGCCGTAGGCACGAGACTTTCTGATAGAGTGCCGTAGGCACGAGACTTTCTGATAGAGTGCTTGATCTACGTCACAATAACTCGAGCGAGCTTGTTCGGCAGCCATTTGTTGCACACCTTCAACGAACGAACGAACTGTCAAGATGGAGGCGGGGAGCTAGCGGACTAGAGTCCCTAGCGCGGATGCACCACGCCACCTGTGTCGCCTGAAGCGCCACCAGGCACTAGATGATTTGATGCTGTGCTAATGCGAGAGCGCAAGTGCGGGGTGCTCGATTTGAACTCAAACTCACAACACAAGTGATTATGAGTTGAAAACTGCCAATGACAAAACGTGAATCCTTATTTAGCATTAATTCAATTGCAAAAGATAATTATTGAGTTGATCACAATAATAAAAGGAATGACAATATGATCCTGTGGAAAACTGATTTATCAAAATATTCTGTACATAGAAAAATAAAAATATAAAAAAACAAACAGTTTATAACAGTTGTATAAATCTTACCTATCTGGCAAATCTTGTGAATTGTGAAACTGAACTCTTTATTTAACGTCAACTGAATTGCAGAAAGCAACTATTCAATTGAAAACTCACAATTAAAAAACATGTATCCTTATTAGTGTCAAAAGACAGTTGAGTTGATAACTTATTACAATGAGAGACAATGACGTGATCCTGTGGATTAAAAGCAGTTTTGTAAGTATTATATGTAGTAATAATACATAAAATTATTTACAGGTTTTAAGATATTTATATCAAGCATTATTATTAATTAATTTTCATTTAAGATGCTTCTCAGTATTAAAATTATTAAATTGCTAGTCAATTTAATTTGTGATATCACTACTCTGATTCTATTCTTTGCGTTTCAAGACTAAAAAAGATTTCAGTACGATTTGCAGAGTTAGATATGTAAAATTAAATCTGTGTGACAAAATAGATAATATTTAAGCACTAAGATCTGCTTCAATTGAAAACAGGGTTTTTCTTATAATTAGTTTAATTGATTATATACACTATTACTATGATAAACGATATTGATGTTCTAGAATCCAAATATCTGGATTATCTTCAATATTAACTACACATAGGGTGCGTTCCGATATTCACTGTCAATACTGAAAATCTATAGCGTATGTAACGTATACTGTACAGTTTCAGTACTGGTTTCAGTAAATATCAGAACGCACCCATGATAATAATATATTGTCAGTATTGATATTGATAATATTAAATATATTATTGATCACGTAAAATCCTAGATTGCAAATTCTGCTATATGCTTAAGGCGTGTGGTGGGGGTTGAAGGCATAGATGCGCTTTGGGGTCCAGGAACGCCAACAATTTTTTCCTCGCTCTGTCCTTGTCACATTGGTGAAGGCGAGAAGGTTAGAGAGAATGAAAAGGGAAAATCGCTGGCGTGCCCAGATCTTAAAGAGCATCATTGGTTGAAGTGTTAAAGAAGAAGCTGGCTAGGCAACAAGTTGGAACTTGGGCTGCAGTCCGCTTCTTCCTAAATCCCTTCCAACCCCTACCCCGCGTTTTAAGCATGCAGTCTACAATCTAACACCTCTGTCCAAGATCTGCATTAGATCCTATTTATTATATCTATCCTACAAAATTATATCTATATTCTATGTGTTTATAGTTTGCAAAAAAAAAAATAACCTCAATATTGTAATATAATAATTTTATATTAATGATCACATATATTTTATATAAATATTAGAAAAATTAATTTTCTCAGATCTTTTTATATAATATTACATACATTAATTATGTTAATAAATGTAATAGAAGAACGATTACCTTTGATAAAAATTATTAATTTTCAGCGTGGGTTTTACTGCATTTGAGCATGAAACAATAAGAATGGACACCGGAACCAACGAATAGTGGTGTGCTTTGTATTTGTTTGCAAGTATTTCTCTCTTAAAAATCTCCGCCGTCTGTCTATGTGAATGTCGCGTCAGAGGAAAAGGCTGACATTTTAAGATTGTACTTAAGACAGTCGTTATCCTTTCCACTTTGGCCGGAAATGCCGGAACCGGAATTGTATACGTATGCAGATGGCGTACATTATGGTTCATTTCTATGTCTTGAGTATGTCGGAACAATATACGATTTTGTCTCAAGAAGATATATATACGATATTTTATATATTTTCTCAGTATATTTGGTATACATCTTAACAATATACAGGAAATGAGATTTTATTGGGATATAGTGTAGATGTATACGCTATATTTCGATAATAACAGTACATTCAAGATAAAAATCGAATATTAGCATGATATCGTGTGCTATCTGAGAAATTCGAATATCAGCCTGACTATAAACGTAGAACATGCTCAACTCCACGTATAGTAGCAGAAAAACGACGAAGACAAGCGGAAGTAAAGGACATGTTTACAGAAGCATTCGAGTCTTCTTCAACAAATACTGCAGATACATCAAAGCAGAGTACAACTGCTGCTTTAAATGAGCTTGCGATAAATGAACTCGTTCCCAAATCTCGAGCTGAACAAATTTTTACTGCATGTGCGATTACGAATACAAGAGATGTAGAAAGAGTTGGATTCATGGACGTCGGAATACAAACTTCCGTGACGCAGCACAATGTTGGCGTACAGGTTAAGATCCGACCACATTATCGCAGTGTTCATACAACATGCAACATTTCAGTATCGACTGTCAATAAATGTTCTTCTCCAATTAAATTACCTATCCATGCAAATATTGCAATTTCTCCGACAAAAACTATTATTTCTAAGACGACCTGTACAAATTACTCCATATTAACAAGTACTACAAGTACAATAGATATAGGTAGTTCTCATGATTATTATATGCCTTCTGACCAAACGAGTCTCGACGATCCTAGAGCCCAAATAAAAAAGATCGAGACATATTAAACATAACAAACTATCTCATTAGTACTAATATAAAAGCGTACCTAGGGATTCCAAACGAATGGAATATACTGTTGCCTCTTTTGAGCACAAAAGGTAATATAAGTATCCAAAATGTACAATTATATGACAATCTTGTGTTTCGCGGGTTTTCTCCGTGTTCAAATCCATTCTTGGAATGCGAAACACAAGATTGTCATATAGGAAACACCCGTGAAAGCCTCAAGAATGTACAATTATGTTTAATGAAAATTAGAAGACAAGATACGTTTGAACGATTGGCTGAACAATTCTGTATGAGTCCTAGTAATGCAAGTATAGTTTTTAGAAAAACAGTTGCAATACTCAGTCATTTACTAAAAACTTTGATCTTCTTTCCGAATCCCAACTTAATGAAAAAAACTTTGCCTATTGCTTTTCGAAATTCATACAATCATGTCCAGTCCATTGTAGATGCTCTAGAAATACAAATTGAAAAGCCGAGTAATCCCGTAAATCAAGCTTTGATCTGAATACAAAAAATGTAACACGATAAAATATTTGATATCTTGTGGGCCAGATGGCTTTATCAATTTCATTTCTACTGGATATGGGGGTAGAATATCGGATGTATTATTGTTTGAGAAGTGTGGTATACTAGATAAGCTCCCTGAAAAATGTGGTGTTATGGCGGATCGAGGTTTTAAAAATATCAAGCCTCTATTAGTAGAAAAACATTGCGAGTTAATAAAACCGCCAAGTGTATCGTCCATACATAAACCTACGAAATCTGAGGTTTTGGAAACTAAATGCATTGCTAGCTTACGAATTCACATAGAACGTGTCATTGGGAGATTGCGTGAATTTGATTTTCTAAAGCCACATGCTGTTATAAGCCATAGTATGTTATCTGACACTGATGACATTATCGTGATCGCTTCAGCATTAATAAATTTGCAGTCACCAATAATAAAAATATAGTATGATATAAGAATTGACAAGTAATAATTCTGAATACATTATATATTTTACACACTTTTATTATATATTTTACACACTTTTATTATATATTTTACATACTTTTAGACATCGATACCTTATTTCTGTACAGAAGATATTAGCAATGGAAATATATTTTTTTTCCAAAACAGCATTGACTTTTCGATTAAATCCTGTGCTACTTCTGAATCGTATGTAAGCCATTGCATTTGTACTGTTTTCGTACTTTCAAAAGCCGAATCAGCCACACAAAATAATCCTTTTTTCCTTCCTGTAGCTAACATTTGTAAGTGCATATGTGCTATGTACTTAGGATTGATAATTTTATCTTTCGACAAGAAATTTTCCAATGTTTTTTTATTTGAAGGACATTTTATTTCTACGATGTATTCGTTGGTTATACCATCAGGTGATGCACCGAGAGCTGGATAATTTGGCAATAGATACAGTCCAGCATTCCTTATTTGTGTACCTAGTTCGCGCTCTACTTCTGACAGAACTAGTTTTTCCAAGTTCTTTCCTCGTAACATTGCACTTGTTTCATGTATTTTACTCGCTCCTGTTATCTGTTTAACAAACGATCCACTATCTCTTGTACAATGTGCTGCTTCGTACAATTTAGAAGCTGTAATCCTCCCATATCGGAGTTCGTACCACAGTGGACAATCACTCTGTTTTTGTGTCAACCGTTCAGCTTCATCGCATAAGACTTGAGTCATCTCGGAACTGGCAAAAGTAAGAAAATCCTCTGACAGTAGACCTCCATTTAAAT